CATAGCGGTGTAAGAGGTCGATTGCTATTCTTAATTACCTCTAATTAAAGTTAAAGAATTCCGTGAGAAAATATTATGTTGAGCAAAAATTTAGATTTAAACACATTTAAATTAAACAATATTTAAACACCAACGAGCAATGTTTATTTGTTGGTATTCACAAAATTTATAATAACAAATAAAAAGTTTACAATCCAATTAAATTTTTATTAATAAAACTTAAGGTCAACATACGTGTATATATTCCGAAACTCCTAGGCAGTATTGAAATCCCGAAATCGGTACTAACATCAATAGCTAATTGGAATATGCATTATCAACCGCAAACATGCATTCGCATGCTACAGAATTATTAACGATCCAAATGCTAATTAGCGCAAACAAGATTATAATTAATTTCATTGAATGACCACAGACACACAACGCACTCACACATTTATATATACATATATGCATGTGTTTGTATGCAAAACGCATTTAGATTTTATTAAGGGTCATTGATCTGAGATGACTAATTTTTTTATTATTTTTATATTATTATTTTATCTAATTTATTGTTTAATTAATTCAATATTTGAAAAGAAGATTGAAAAAGAGAGGTTATAACAAAACTCGAAAGCCAAACAAGAAGAAGAGAAGACAGAAGAGAGCAGAGAGGGGAAGGCTGTTATAAAAATTGCGGCTCTTAACTTTAGTTAAAATGGAAGAGTTGATAGTTTATCGGCTCTCCTATTAAAACGGATGGTAAAGTAACTGTGGATGAGCGTGCAGCAGGAAGTTTGAGGCATGAGAGAAAAACAACACCTGTGGAGGAAGCAAATTGTACAAAGACAGAGGAGACAAGTAAGGAACAGGAAAAGTTAATTTGGATTATTATACCAAGTGACATCTTTATACTAGTAAAATACCAGTACATTTGAGCATGCCGATCAATATATGTATTATAGGCTCTTTTTAAGCACTGCAGCGATTTGTAGTTAAGCTTCTGTTCTAATTTGTGCTTTGCTTTTTGTTGTTTTTCTAACAAATGCCGGGATCTACAGTTTTTACTAAGCCGCCTCCGCACGGCTGATGGTATTTATAAGGAATTTTGGATTTTCATGCCAGAAATACAGTCCGAGGGGTTGATATTCCCTGACTAGGAGCGAGCTCAAGTAGAAAAATTAACTTAAGGTTTTATTAAAATCAAATTTCTAAAATTTTTTAAATGTTCTTCGAACGAAGCCTCAAACCCTGACCTATCGAAGGGTAGATTATGGGACTACCATTTTGAAGGGTGGCAAAATATTGTCTACAGCTTGATTAGACTCTAATTTTTATGTCAACAAACATCTGATGGGATGTTGAGCAAGTTTTATGGTATGATTACACTCTTCAAATATCAGTGTAGAGCCGGAACTTATAACATTTAATTTGGTTTGGTTCTTCATAGCGGGTTACGCATAGACTAGTCGCGCAAACATTTCGTGCAGGTACTAGTATTGCAGTTCACCAGTAACCATGTGTTGTTGTCACATTTACCACGTCACATACCAAAATAAACTAGTATACAACTAGTATGAAGCTGATATATATTCAGACAGTTGGCAGTTTGTGGGACATCGCAGTGTTAAAATTACAAGCTGCTTGTACACGAAGTTGACGGAAGATAAAATAGTTAGCGCAAAATACAAACGAGTTGGATTCCAGTTAACAACAACAGTTATCAATTTGTAGTTCATGGCTCTTATCTGAGGTAGACTTTAATATTCCAACTCTTATATCTAGGCAGTTTAGGCATTTCCTTTCAAAGTCTGGTAAAACAAATTATGAATCGAATGAACCCTTTCGTCGATTGTGTCACAATTTTAATTTTTATTCCCACACCTTCGATCTCTCCGACTCTTTTTTTTAGCATAAAAAAAAAAAATATTTTTACTTCTCTCAAAAGTTGAATTTTAAAATTCCATAATAACTTAAGTTCAGCTTTTGAATAATTACTTTTTTTTTGTAGCTGAACACTTTTAAACCTCAACTCTTAACAAACGCTTGCCAATCACCACTTGGCATATGCCGTACGTTATGCGGATATCGCCTATCGTGTCGGTTGGGCTTATTATTCCTGCACCGTTACTATGTAACACACATTTTTATGTCATCATAAAAAAAAATTGTGACTCGAGGGAAAACTAAATCCTTTCTACGTGCATTACGTCATGTATTAGCGACACGCAGTTGATGACGTATTTATTCAAGTTTCAAACCATAGCTATTAAGCGAGTGTTAGAACGAGTACACACATACATTTGTACAACACAATTCACCTCCTCGTGGCAGGCGGTGGCATATGCCGGACACATGTATTATGTATTTACTGTCTGTTGGCATGTGCTTTTTGACGTCATTTTTGATTTGCTAATGGCATGCACATACAATTCGAGGAGTCTACGGTTTGAAGTAGAATAACATGAAGGACTTATTTGCTTGTAAAAGTGAAGCAAATGCCATTTAATTATAAAAATAGTACGAGGCTTATTTATAGCCTTCTATATATGTATTTATAGATTTCCTACACAGCTACAACATTTAAAGAATATATATATTTAAGTAGGGAAGTTGCGCCTTCAATGAAAACGTCGGTAAATTTAAAGAAAGTGGCAATTTCGTTAAGATGGGAGTGACTGAAATTCTTGCTTACAATCACACTTGAGTTGTTAATAAATAGTTAATGTAATAATGTGGATTGTGTAATGCAATTACAAACATTTTTTCATATTTAATAGGAAGGGGCGTAGGTGGGTGAGTAGGCTTTTATTACTTGTGCGATGGTGTTGACGGCTTTTAAGCAAAAAATAAAAGATATGTGCGCCTTCGTTAATGTATACACATATTTACATACATACGTGTGTATTTCAAGTTTACTTGTAGTTATTTTCTCATTTCATTGTTAAGCTAGTTTCGTTGTTGTGCCATGGTATGTTTCATTATTTACCATTTTCTATTGTTTATTTATTTCAGTTGACGGTTGACGTCCAAGAAATTTATTGTTTAGTGTATATAATACAATACAAATAATGTTCAAGTAGATTTTATTACATTTTAATCTAGCATAATGTGTAATAAGAAAAAAAAAATGCTTTCGCGGAACTCATGGCACTTCTGGTTCTATTTTGTAAAGACGCAGTACTTATTGGATATACCTATATACAATATATATACATTCTTACATTTAGTTCAGATTATATAAAACAATGAATTTTGCTTCAACACTTTAAACTATCATTCTTGCATCTCCATCATCTGAGATAAGAATCTAACATAATTAAAGCTTATTTTTGAATGAAAAAATTTCTTAATATGACTAGAAAATGAGGAAAAAAATTTACTTCAGTCTTTTTATCAATTTGATTATAAATTAAATTAATTTAAAATAGATTTTCCCCCCTCAGGAAGTCAATGTTCTCATAAAATATTTTTTGAATGAATTCTCCTGGTAAATAATTAGTTATTAATTTTAATTATTTCGGTTACCACGATGGGAAGGTTGTGCTTGGCGACTTTAACGTCAGAGGTATCTTCGGAAAATTTAGTATTCGCAGCGAAGTATTCCCAATTGGGTTGAACCTCAACGTCTTCACTGGCGTCCGAAATATAATCATGAGTAGTACTAGATTCCAGCAAGATGAAATTCGTCAAGCTACTTGGCTGCCTGCTGATCGGAAACTTCAGAACCAGATAAAATATGTTGTGATAGACTGATGACATTTATCCACGGTTCTTACGCTCCGAGACATCCGAAACATTGACTCTGGGACCGAGTTTCAAGGTCCCTATGCGCAATTGCAAGCGAAAATATCGTTTTTTGTAAAAGTCAAAAGAGCAGCTGGTACAATGAGGACTGTCATGCCGCAGTGGAGAGAAATCGGGATGCCAACCTCACAAGGTTGCGGTCGATCACAATACGTGCAAGTTCAATGGCAGTGAAAATGGAACACCAGTAGATGGCCGCTAATTCCAGTGGGATTTGCAGCTGATGAGTAAGCTTTAGATGCTTTCAAAAGAAAGGTTTTGCGTAAGATTTATGGTCCTTTGCGTGCTGCCAAATGTAAACACTTCAGAAGATAGAATGATGAGCTCCAACTTTGAAAGTATTCAATGCAGTACCCGCTGGTGGAAGCAGAGAAAGAGGAAGATCTCCACTCCGGTGGAGGGATTTTTAATTGGAACGAAAGAAGGAATGAATGGTGCGCTATTAATGGTTCTGCTATAATAACAAAAGCGGTGCCTACGCCAATGAAGATGAAGGAGAAGAATCAGAAAACTTCAGCATCGCTCTAACATTTCAATACTACTTTTGTAAAAGAATTTTTATTTCGTCCCAAAATCGGCTGCAGCTCTAAAGCCAAAGTGCGCATATGTTGTTGTTTCTTTGCAACTTTATCCTTTAAAGTCTCTAATATATATATATATATATAACTATGCACATCACAAAATATCGAGGCTCTAAGATTTCCAACGGTTCACTAGTTGCCGACCAGTCAAACGGCTATCGATTTTGGTACGAAGTGAAGTGATGGCTTCTTGCTTTGTCCATTATTACCCTTTGGTGCAGAAACTTGGGTTTGTTGCATTTAAACGTGGTCAAATCCAGCTTAGAATCATCAACATGAATTCATGAAATTTGAAAGGCCTTCTTTGGAGGGTTAGTACTTACTGAGAAAGCGCTATCTATGTGTTAGGGTCTTTTCAGCTCATGACTTTATAAAATTTTGTGAACTTTTTTCAAAGCGAAAGAAAAATAGGCAAGGAAGCAGCTTTTTTACTATTAAAATTCCAAAAGTCTCATTTTAAATGTTTTGGATCAACGGGTCGTATGAGTGATTTTTTTTACCAGTGTTACAAAATTTTTTTGTTAATTTCTCAAATATGAAATTTAATTCTAACCTAATTTTTAATTATTCTTTACATATAAAATGAAAAATAAAATAAATAAGTTATATGTATTTTCTCATGCCACTCACCTCTCTTGATGTTCTAAGCCTTCCAGGCCATCGGCAATGACGCTCTCAACAACATGATTTCGGTTACCCAATAAATGTTGACGATCCAAATCGATCTGAAATTGTTAAAAGAATTTATGTAAAAACCATTTTACACATATACAACACTTGTGTGAGTGGTATAATGAATATGAAAGCGAAAAGTTTCAGAAATATTTCAACAAACATAAAAATCGAACTTTACAAAAAAAAAATAATTTTATTAAAATCAAGGAAGAAAGAATCTTAAAAAAAAAAGAAATTTCTGTTAGCAAAATTAAATTTTACAAAAATAATTGAATTAATATTTTTCTTTCAATTATAATATTTTTTGTTTTTAACCAAAAAATAGTATTTTTGTAAAAAAATTTTGACTATAAATAAGCACCGACTGTCCACCTTCCAAGAAATTGTCAGGAACACGGAGTTCGATTGTCTCAAGCCTTTTTTCTATACAAAGCTTTGCACCCACATAGAAGTTGCTCTGTAGTCTCTTCTTCATCTACTTCCTGTCAGCAAATTCCAAATCCAAATCAATGATTGTATGGTATCCCTAGTCTACAGGTGTATCATGAACGGCCCCAATTTAGATTGTTTTGCTTTTTGAGCTAGTCTGGGATTATTTCTAGCCCGTCTAAGATATATTTTTATTTCTTTTAATAACTAAATAATATTTCCAAGCATTTCTATGTTACAAGCATTTTATGGTTTTATATAGATCTGGCTCGCAGTTACCGAGGATATTTTTGACCAAGGAGTCTATTGCAGATTAATTGTGGCGTAGGATGTTACTTCTAATAATAAATAATGACAGTCTTACATTATTTGTATTGGGATTCCAGAAGACTTTGATGATTTTAAAAACTCTCAATGTTTAAAGCACCAGCTGTGGCACAACCAGTGTCTGCTTGAACAACACTGGAGCGATTTGCTAGTCGGAAGGCGATTTTTGATGCCTAATTTTGCTGAAAATACCGCACCTCTCAATTGGTTACCTAGTTTAAATCTGTGCGTATAAATACTAATCGCTGTGTCCTTGCCGACCTTACCCGTTACTCCTGCAGGGGAAGGCAATATTAGGTGCAATATTAGGTGATGACATTAGATTCGTCTCCGCAAATCACGAAAGTTCATGGCATTGATTATAAACGCAAGTTTGCTAATTTTTATTAGAATATCCCTCACTAGAGAAGCATCTGTTCGATTGGCTTATACCAACCAGGGGAAAGAAATTCACAAGTTCAGCAAACACAAAAAAATTACTGAACTCAATATTCCTCATGAACTCAAAAAAAGAGGAAAAAGTTAAAATTTTTTTAATAATAAAAAAGCAAAACTGAACTCAATTGGCATTTGAACTGGTTATGCACATTATTATGTGGGGTAGGCATGGGTTAAAAGCGAATAAACTGAGCAGCGGCAGAAGAAACGTGTTTTCATAAAAAATGTGCTGTAATATTGAGACAAAAACAATATTAAGTGCACTTTCAAACGACGGAAGAGAAGTCGAGCAATGTACGCAGAAATTTGCTTGGATTTTTCTGTAATTTTTTTGATTTTTTTACCTTGCACCAGTTTAAATTAAGAATAAAGAGAAAAAGTAAAAAAAAATTATTAATTCTTAAAGGAAAAGGAAGAAAAAAAAACCGATGATGAGAAATAAGGAAAGTTATTAAACAAAAAGTAAAATAATAAAAATTAAAAAAAATAAATTCAATTAAAAAAAAAATAAATAAAAAAGTACTTTATATTTTTAAATATTGCAAAAAAAAATTGTGAAAAAAATAAAAAAAATAAATAATAACTTAAAAAGGAGGAAAGGATAAAAAGATAAATAAAGTAAAAAATATGTAAAGAAATAATAAAAAAGATGTTTAAAAAATAAAAAAAATAATAATTGAGAAAATAGAATAGAAAATAAACAAATATTTAATACATTTAAAATTAAATGTTCAAAAAAATTTTTGCACAAAAAAAAACTAGAAAACAAATAGAAAATAGGGATAAATAAAAAAAAAATTAAAAAAGTGAGAAAAATGTTGAAAAGTAAAATAAAACAATTAAAAATCTCAAAACGAAAATATTCAAAAAAAGTTTCAAAAATTAAAAAAAAAAACATGCAAAAATTTTATAAAAAAGTTCCAAAACTATTTAAATATTAAAAAAAAAATTGCACGAATGAAAACAAAAAAAAAAAAAATAATAAAAAGGGGAAAAAATAAATTATTAACAAAATAAGAGAAATGTAAGAAAATTTTCAAAAAAAGTTTCAAAAATTAAATATAACATGAAAATATTTGAAAAAAAAGTTCCAAAACTATTTAAATATTCAAAAAAAATTAACACGAATGAATAAATAATTAAAAAATTAAGAGAAATGTAAGAAAATTTTCTAAAAAAGTTTCAAATATTAAAAAAAAACATGAAACTATTTAAATATTCAAAAAAAAAATTAGCACGAATGAAAAAAAAATAAGTAATTAAAAAAATAAGAGAAATGTAAGGAAATTTTCAAAAAAAGTTTCAAAAATTAAAAAAAACATGAAAAAATTTGTTAAAAAAGTTCCAAAACTAACTAATATTCAAAAAAAAATTAACACAAATGAATAAATAATTAAAAAAATAAAAGATATGTAAGAAAATTTTCAAAAAAAGTTTCAAATATTGAAAAAAACATCAAAAAATTTGATAAAAAAGTTCCAAAACTATTAAAATATTCAAAAAAATTTAACACGAATAAAAAAAAAAAATAAAAAGTGAAAAAAATAAATAATTAAAAAAATCAGAGAAATGTAAGGAAATTTTCAAAAAAAGTTTCAAAAATTAAAAAAACTTGAAAAATTTTGATAAAAAAGTTCCAAAACTATTTAAATATTCAAAAAAAATTAACACGAATGAATAAATAATTGAAAAAATAAGAGAAATATACGAAAAATTTCAAAAAAAGTTTCAAAAATTAAAAAAACATGAAAAAATTTGATAAAAAAGTTCCAAAACTATTAAATATTCAAAAAAAAAAATTAAAAAATAAATAATTAATAAAATAAGAGAAATGTAAAAAACTTTAAAAATAAAATATATAAAACAGTTAGATATTATTTATAAAAAAAATGAAAAAAGAAATAAAAATGTTTCAAAATTATTTAAATAATACGAAAATTGTTGACACGAAAAAATCTCAAAAACTTTCAAAGGGGGAAAATATATAAAAATAAAAAGGTACGAAATTGTAATAATATGTAAAGAATTAAAATAAAATAAATAGAACACTTAAATAATAACATAATAAAAAAGGTGTGAAAAAATAATTAGAAAAGTCCCAAGAAATATTTAAATTATGACAAAATTTTGGACACGAAAAAGCTAAAAAGAAGTTAAACTTCAAAAATGTAATCGCATTGTAAAAAACACAAACACAACTAAAAAAAATTAAAAATCAAGATATATGTAATAAATTTAAACATTGAAAATAAAAAATTTTTGAAAGAGTTTTAAAAAATTAAAAACAAAAATTGAAAAAGTATATCGAAAAGACACAAAAATATTTAAGTTTTTGACACAAAAACAAAGAAAATTAAACTTAAAAAAGGTAGTACAAATGTAAAAAACATCAAAAAAAAAAATTAAAAAAAATTAGAATTAAGACATGTGTACAGAAATGTAAAAATTACATTAAGTAAATAAAGCCCTCAAATAAATAATTATTAAAAAAGTGTAAGAAATAAAAAAAAGGAAAGAAAAAAACATTCCAAAAATTTTTAAATGTTGACACAGAAACACAGAAAACTAAAAAAATATTATAAAGGGTGTAGAATATAAAAAATTAAGCAAAATAACAAAAAAAAAAATTTATAATAATAAAAACTAGTTCAAAAAACATTTAAATGTTAAAAATAAATAACAAAAAAAAAAAAATAATAATAAAAAATAGTTCAAAAAAACATTTAAATGTTGACACGAAAGAATTTTATTGGCGCTCTCTTTCACAGGTACACGTCCTCTTAAAGTACTTAATTCCTTATGTAATGTGGATTGTAATTTATGTCTGCACACAAACACATGTATAAATGTCATTTATATACAAAAATATGTTCCACAAGTTTTTTCCAAACACACTCACCTGCATTTGTGAATAGGCCGATGATGTGACGCCGCCATAATTATTCAAACTTACACCGTTCATATCGGCGAAACCGGCTTCCAAGTCCGAACTATTGCCTTCCATATCGTGTGGGCTGCTGTCAGAATCGTCGTCAGCTAAAAGCAAAAAGGGAAACATTTTTTTTTTTAAATTAAGTCAAGAATTTCGCAGTAGAAACAAAAATTTCAAAAAAAAATAAACAACAAAAACAACACACTCAGACTAAAAAAAATCAATATTTACAGGAGAACTCGAAAGAATCGTTGATCATTTTTATGCGTTTTACTATGTAACACAAGTACTAAAAATGTACTAAAAACTGTTTTTTTTTTCAGCGTGAAAAATTGCACGCGTCGTCAAACAGCCACTTCTTCAAAACTTTTACACTTCCAACTGAACTTTGTTGGGGTTTCGGGTTGCGATTTGCGATTTGCGCGTTGCCTCGATCACAGTTTGTTTACTTTTATATTTTTGAATTCTCTGCTTCTGTTTCTGCTTCTTCTTCTTCTTCTCCTTCCTTGTTTTCTTGTTTTATTTTTTTCACTCTTTTCGCTTTACATGAGCAGCCTTCGCTCGCACAATGCATGTAGTGACATTTAATATCCGACTGATTGTGATTGCGCTGACTGAGTAAAGTTGTTCGTGCGCTTGCTGCCAGCCTGCTTGCTTGCTTGTGTGGTTTCGGTACTCGCTTGGATGCTGCGTAGTGGTGGCAGCAGCAGCAGCAAGTTCCACATGCTACAACTCCGCTGGCGACTTATCTCTCACATACATACACAGCGCACAGCATCCCGCGTCGTGGAAGGCAAGCAGTCGAGTTCTAGCGTCAAGATCCGCCTCTTATTTGTTCAAAAAGCCTACTAGTGTTGTTGTTAGTGCAGTTTTTTTTTTTATCATTGATAAAACATTTTATCGCTTGCTTGCTCATAAATTCAACTGACACTAAAATGTGCATACAAATATACATATATACACAGATATATACATATAGACCGACTCGAGATAAAAAAGTTATTTATCCCCTTTTTGATGGTCGTCCATTGAATAGTCTAAATATTTATTTATTTTTGACTTGTTCTCCTCTCATGATAAGCGGATCACTTGTTTGGAGTTGTTTTCGGATTTTCGTTGCTTTCATTGTCGTAAGGTAAGACGTAGAAAAGCTGCAGATAACCAAACGTTTTGCTTCTCGCGACTTGCACGCCAGCTCTCTGAGGGCATTCATGTACAACTTGGCATAAGAGAATTGTGGAACGAAAAAAAAAACTATTCTCACTCGACAAGTCCAAAAGAAGAGCAAGTGCGATGAGAAATGATGAACTGCAGTTCAGAGAAAACAGTTTGTCTTTCTAACAAACTAGCGATCAACCGCAATGCCCGCGCTTTGGGAGGGAAATCGAGAGCTCCACCGGCTAACCCTAAGGAGCAAGGATTAAAAATTCTAATACCGAAAGAGGTGCGTTAGAAGATGGAAGGAGCCCCTGTCATGCTTACAGCTTACAGTCCATTCAAGGAAGAAATGCAGAAGAATAGAATCTGAGAACGATCTGAGAAAACCAAACTCACACAGTTTGCACTAATTGCTAAAAGATCGGACTCTAGGCTGGTGATAGAACTATTAACAGGGCATTGTCTTCTGACATTTAATGCGCTTATGCTGGGTCGAATAAAAATGTAGAAAATATAAGGAATATGTGTAGAGAGTGAAGCACTTAATCTGTGAATGCCCGACTTTCAGAAGACAAACGCAATGTATATTTGACGCAGAAGGGCTAGAAGATCTCCAATCCGAAATGGCTAAGGAGCCAAAACGACTACTTAGGTTCGCAAAAAGAACAGCAAGGTTCTTCACACTAGAGGCCAACTGGTGTATAGAAGTACAGCTTGGTGGCATTCAGTGTGCCTTTAAATACTATGGATGTACATCGTCTATGTGAGACTCACTGGCTCAGTTAGCTTAACCTAACCTAACCTAACCTAAAAGACCGAAGTATGCATGCTTGTTGAACCTCAGGAGGTACGTTAGTAACCGATGAGTCGAGTTACTTGACGATGCTAACTTTGGCGTTCTATCACCCGACTATGACGAGGTACAAATAGAAATTGTCTAGTTAGACAGCAACACAGCCCGAGAGCCATTGGTTTGTTAGCTGAACTAAGTCACAAAGTCAAAAAGAAAAGCCCTAGTAAGCTTCTCTCTCAGCAGAGAACAGAGACCAAACTCTACAAGTCGCTTAATATTATCGTCCTGCTTTATGTTCTATAGCGCTTTGGCAGCAGCTTGTACGCACTCGGTGGAATGATGAGCTGCATGAAATATACGACGAATTGAGGAGATCAGCTACCCTGTTTAGATCAAGCGGTAGCCGATAGAACCAGAGGAATGGCGAAGAAAGGAATCGGCAGGAGTGTTATCATCAATTCAGCCCAAACCGACCCCACAAACGATGGCTAAGACGATAAAAAATAATAACTAGAAGAACAAATTTTCCGGTTGTAAGAAACGACTTGAATCTATTCAGTAGAAAATTTTTCATTTTAATCTCCAACACTGTTTTTGTGAAACTTCCAGAAGCTGTCCAGAGTGGTGCTTGTCTCTTCTCGCATACTGATCGCCCTGGAATCTCTATAAAAGTTAAGGGTTCTGGATAATCTTGGTGGATCTTAAAACCCCTTAAGCGATTTCCTGAAACTTCATGTTTGCCTCCAAATTGAAGAACCTATAAATTTACAAATAAAACACCTCAGAGCTCATCAGTGAGAAGTCATTATTCTCATGCGAGAGAACCAATCGGAGAGGTTTACTCTTTCTGCCTGGAGGCGAATGTACATACTTAGACAAGTCTTAAACAGATATTGAGCGTCCAAGAGTTGAGAAGTTAAGTAATGCATATCGATTAGTACTGTTATTATATTCAATACTTTTTGCTCCTCCAGCCTCTTGGACGTCAGCATCAACTGAGCGAATACTGAGTACCATAAAAAATATTTTGCGCCTAAGAATTCTTCCCTTGAAGGAGATATTGTGTTTGTAGAAGAATAACAATGGATCCGCAGAAGACCGCTGAAGCAGTTTTCGGTTGGTCTCCTCCTCTAATTGAGTGCATGCGTATAGTTCTTTTTCAACAAATGGAGAAACATACACAGTTTATACTAAGCCGCCTCCGAAGGGTTGATGGTTTTTTGTGAAGAGCTTTTGATTTTCATGTCAAAAATACACTCAGAGAGGTTGACATTCTCTGTAGAAGAATATATTTTCCCTAATTTTGCATGTTGATCGAGCCACGACCCGAACCTTGCACTCTAGAATGACAGTACTCAATGCTACCCACTCAGCTATGGCGGCCGCTTACACTTGGCATCAGCAAGCCTAGCCTTAACCACAGAGCAGTAGCTGTATCTTGAATTTGACTGATTTCAAATAACAGTATTGAGTTAAAAAAGAAGTTTAAAATAAAAGTTTTCTGCACATTTACCTTCTTTTAGCTTATTGTATACCACGTGACGTATATACATATTCGAGCTTATTGTAATATCACAAAAAATTTGAAATAAATCTTCAAATATGCGAAATAAAAATTCACGGTACAAGAGAAAGTGTATCCACTTTGTTGGCAGTTGTAAATTAAAAGAGTCTCCTTTCCCGCGCAGCACGCTTTTAAATAGCCAAAAACGTTGAATGAATTGCATTTCGCCACTACCAGTGAATGAGGTCAGTTCCTCAGTTAAAATTGCTATCGGTCATTCGAATGGAATTTACCGTTTGTCTGAATGAGTTGACAGCACTGGCAAATATTTTTGTTTGAGTGCGAGTTGAATGTTTTTTGAGTGGATATTTCGGTATCTATTTGTATTTATTGCCTGTTTCATAACCCAATGATGATATGCAATCTGTAGTGGCATGCGATTTTAGACTTCTACATGCTGCTGTGGTCTACCCAAGCAAAAATTCGTGGACCATATGGTCGAATGGAGTAATCCAATAGGTATTCTTCTGTAGTGTACTATTGGACCAACGCACGTCTCACTACCACCCTGTTGTTAGCCGATGATTGATCGTAATGTAACGAACCCAATGACTTAATGAAAGAAAGAAATCTTCCAGTTTTAATTCAAAAATAGGTAAAGAATTCGAAAAGTTTTGAAATGTTTAAACAACAACAAATAAAGAATTGTATTGTATTTACAGGCCCCTAATGGTGGATTTTCATGATTGTTGTGGCCGCGGTAGTCGAGTGGTTAGCATTGCGTACTGATATTCGTAAGACTCTGGTGACACCAACATCCAAAAGTTATAGGAAATTAATTTAAATGAAAAATTAAGTTAAATTTTCGAACTGCAATCGCCCCTCGGCAGGGTATGTCAACCCCTCGGAGTGTATTTATGACAGAAAATAATGGCTCCTCATAAAAAAACCATCAGCTGTTTGGAGGCGGCTTAGTATAATGGAGGAACCTACACAGTTTAGACTGAACCGCCTAGGAAAGGGCGATGTATTTTTATGAAGAGCTTTTGAGGAGGGCTTGACATTCAGAATAACAGTAAGCAATGCGAACCACTCGGCTATTGCAGCATCGAATTTCGCTCTGAGTTGTTTAAATCGATAAAATTTTCCAACACTTTTGAATTTAATCCAACCAATGAATATATTGAGATTTGAAAATCGTATCAGCCAGTTAGTTAAACAGATTGCTAGATCACAGTACCCTACTGGCCCGTTGCTATATCTACAGTGAGTGACCAAATTATTCGGAACAGTAGTAGTAGAGTAGACAGCATCGAAATATGACTGTTGCTGACTGGAATAGGGTCAGTATAATATATTCGAATAATGCAATTGGTTAGTGACGATTTTTTACTTCTTACTATATTCTATTGTGTGCTTTTCAGACGAATCAACATCTGAAATTTTGGTCGATAGAAGTTATTTTGTAAGACGATGCCCTGGTGAACAATTCAACAGTGATTGTCTTGTGGAGAGGGTTCAACTCCTGGTAAGTGTCATTGTGGTCAGTCATCTCAACCAAAGGGATTGGGTACCTATATATCGTAGAAGGTACAATGAGACAAGACCAAACCAGATGAGTACTAGAAACACGGTTACTGCCGCAGATA